CAAAATTACTCAAAAAACATGTTTTATTCCAATCCATGACCCCCAGTAACAGGCGGGCAAAACCACCTGACTGAGTCGTTAGTCAAAGGCGGGCATAACCACCTTACATAACTGCCTGGCCGGAGGACCAGGGCCACGATGAAAACAAAACACACTATAAGACTTTATAACTTAGTATCGAAACAAAAGCTTCACTGGTATACAATTCAGATATCCGATCACAAAATTACTCAAAAAACATGTTTTAGTACAATCCATGACCCCCAGTAACAGGCGGGCAAAACCACCTGACTGAGTCGTTAGTCAAAGGCGGGCATAACCACCTTACATAACTGCCTGGCCGGAGGACCAGGGCCACGATGAAAACAAAACACACTATAAGACTTTATAACTTAGTATCGAAACAAAAGCTTCACTGGTATACAATTCAGATATCCGATCACAAAATTGCTCAAAAAACATGTTTTAGTCCAATCCATGACCCCCAGTAACAGGCGGGCAAAACCACCTGACTGAGTCGTTAGTCAAAGGCGGGCATAACCACCTTACATAACTGCCTGGCCGGTGGACCAGGGCCAGGATGAAAACAAAACACAGCTATATGACTTTATAACTTGGTATTGAAACGAAAGCTTCAGATTCAATTCAGATATCTGATCACAAAATTACTCGAAAAACACGTTTTATTCCAATCCATGAGTCCCCTGGAAACAAGCGGGCAAAACCACCTGACTGTGTCGTTAGTCAAAGGAGGGCATGACCACCTCACATAACCACCTGGCCGGTGGACCAGGGCCATGATGAAAACAAAACACAGGTAAAGTAATGAAAATGATATTAAGCCTTTTTAAGCCTCGTGAAATTACAGGTTTTTGTCTGCGAAATCACATATAAAAATTAGGCAAGCTTAATATATTTTTCTGGTTTGGATTTATCTCTATTCCACATATCAAATACAAGTCGATGTACAGGTCCGGTACGAATAGCCACTAGGTATAATGTAAGAAAAATAAATAAAGATAACTTACATTATATCAACATTTGGGATCAAAAGGTGCAAAATTCTGTGTTTTATGAAGCATTTCTACCGATCATTTGAATAGTAAATGTATGGAATCAAATGTCGCGCGTGACATCACGATCCCCCGAACAGTTCGGGTGGTACGCTTGTAACACACGTCTTTTGTTTGCAAAGAGCAAAACCACTCGAATTAAAAGTAATTAAATTCGCTATAAATATTTTAAGCTTCAATTTGTGTCTGCAAAAACAACAAGGTGATACAATACAGTCTTCGCTGTTGACGTCATGTCACGCGACCTTTTGGCGGTTAAAAGCAAACGAACAACCAACGGCAATATTCACAAAACATTTCAGTCAGCTTATATCCAGTATTTATATTTCTAATGTTAGTCGTATATATCTGTCTCCTCTCAGGCTATTCTCCTAACAAGCCTAAACAAAAATTTGAGGCGAAATAGCGAGGTTATCTTAATTTCGAGATTTCAAAGCTAAACACCACACAATGCGCTTTTGATATCGCATCGCGCTCTCCCACAGTAGGAAAACCGCTCTAGGTGTTGCAGTACGGTAAAACAATACTTCAAAAGCCTCAAGAAATCTAGGGCCAGACTATAGTTTTCACATAAAACTCAGAAATTACGGAAAGTATACTCACCTCGAAATGCGAAATGCGCCGTCGTAATCTTTGAACATGTTTGAATGCATGGTTTTTGCTCTCTTCTTAGCAGTCATTTGGAGCCTCCATCATCCTTTGCTCTAACAATCGGCCCTACATCCTTGTTAACTTGAAATCAATGAAGACTTTGAGTTAAAATCTTCAAATTTACGGCGCTTGATTTTAGTACAACCTTCGTGGAGGACGGTTGGAACAAAAGATGAATACAAACGGTATTCAAGTGTCTTTATCGGCAACATGGTCGATCCTGATTGCACGAAAGTTCGCGCCCTGTCACTTAAGCTCCTGGTGACTGACTATACGTAATCTTTGGATCTGCTGCGGCTTTTGACTCAGTCACGTAATTTATGTTGCTGTAAATTTCCTCTTCGAGAACACGCGGAAAAGGAACATGGTCTGAATTAAATCGATAGTACGAAGAAAATGGACAATGAAGAAAAAAAAAAAAAGAAAAGAAGAAGAAGAAAGAAACATAGTGTTACATTTCTCAGGAAAGATAGAAACCCGCACAAATGACAGTCCTGTCAATGGAGTGATGCATCGTTAGCGGTTTAGGTCATTTCATTAATTTAGCTAAAACACCTTTCAATTTACACATGTATACACTGAATGCAGTTGCGTGAATTTCGCACGATATATCTGAAATGAGACCTTAGACTGCAGCTGAAGTATATACCTGCTACATGTACAACTAGCGGCTCAGATAACTTATTCACGCGATGAAGATTTTCTTGCTTCGATATTTTTTTTTTTTACAAAAGAGAGTGGGTGTTTTATTCTATAAACGTATAAGTATGCACATGTGAGTGCATAATTACCTCCGCTGTGGTATACATTTACTCTGTAAGTAAATGTTAAAAATACCTATAGTTTCAGCCTAAACGTGGTGTAAAAATACTCAAAATAACGAGTATCACTACACCATAATTTCTGTGTAGTGTTTTACACCATAAAAAGTGTAACTTTATAATTTTTCTTTTCTAACAATACACTTCAATTTTAACACTTTTAGTTGGTGTTAAAGTACCCGAAAAAACGAGTAACACAACACTACAAATTGTGTAATATTACTCTGTGTTGTTAGCATACTCTAACACCGATAGGTGTGTTTAATTCTATAAGTTTGTTAGTGTAAAATTACCTTTACTATGGTATACATTTACGCTGTAAAAACGGGTAAAATGTACACCGTACCCTGCGTGTAATGTTACAATAGAAAAAATTGTAAAAGTATACCTTTAACTGTGTAATATTATCATGTTAAGAGTACCAGCTCTTTTACACTAAAGTTTGCGTAAAATTACCCGACATGAAGCGTAACACAACACTGAAAATTCTGTGTAACGCTTTACTCGTTAAAAAGTGTAATATTACAAATTTTCCTTTGTAACATTACACTTTAATTTTAAGTGTGTATGGAGTTAGGAGATGAAAGTTATTCACTGACTTTAAGTGGTAATAAATTGAGAGAATTGTGTGGGAGGCAGGATTAATTTTTAAATCTTCAATAGGGGAAGGATGAAGAAAGGGCACTCAGTTTGAAATCTTTTTCAGACCTTTCTGGATACTTCTGAGGTGGGTTTACACTAAACACTCTTTAAAAAGCCTTTAAAGGTCTTAGTGTGAACCCACCTATTGTTGTATCACAGCCGGAAGCGATGATAACGTTTTCTCGGGCCCTCAGTTACCTATTCTTGCTGAAGTTGTGCAAAGTATTGGTTCATTTTTCAAAAATGCGGAAGTCATCTAGTAAATAAAGAATGTTCGATTAAGTCAACCAGATAATCAGGAGGTTCCACTGTACTAAGGTTTATTATGCCAGCTACATAGTATATATCGGTTTCATTAAAAAACGCGTCTTACGCTAAAATGAACAGCTTGATTGAGCTGAACGTCTACGTCGGAGCTTAGATCCGATTTGGTGAAATTAAAATTTACGCAGCTGACCCTTGTTCGTGCCCCGGTAAATTTCTGGCTCTGAATGAGTTTTCACAAGGAAGAATTTCATCTTTAAGTTTAAAATAAGCATCCCCTTCTCTCTCCCCTCCACCACCAAGCCAGCGTTCGAGTTTCCGTATCCTCTCGAGCTCCACTAGGGGAGAAATGAGTTTTACCGGCCTCTTAAATTCAAAACGAAAAAAGTAAAATGGCTGAGGCATAAAAGAGTATTTTTAAATGGTCATATGCATGTCTTGTGAAGTGCTCATGACTTGCCCGAAATATTTTGCCACCACACTCATTGGTTAATTGATGGCAGTTGATCACCATATACGGAATTCCATACCCAAGGACTGATGTCGTAATGATGACTGTCGTAAACATGCAAATGACATAACGATTCTAGATTTAGAGGCTTTACCTGAAAAGGGATGACCTCGCAGCGACAAGAAACCCACTGAACACACTGCTAGCGGATCTCACAGATTCTCAGTCTAAATTTATCACCGGGAAAAATACAGGCAAATTGAAAAGCATCAACCCTCCGCCAATTATGAACTCATGGCCTCCATCAGTCAATTCAATGTACTTCTCAACAACCTCAGTACTATATCCTCACTGTCTACCACTTAACACATCGCGAAACTAAGTTATGGGAGAGAGATCCGCGGATTGTTGTGGAAAGAGGTAGACAGCAAGAATGGATCACGATATGTGAGGAGTTGTCAACCAACACCAGGGGAGGAGGGTGGGGCGAACCTTGATAAGTCGTCTCGGCGGTCGGCGCTGTGACACAGTGAAATCAAAGCCACGTGGTGTATCCTATTTATCAGGGGAGCCCGCAGTGCATTGATGCGTCCCAAAGGACGGCGGAGTATTTTACTGGTCGTTTGGCGATGCGTTAATTAATTATTCAGTGAGAATAGTACTATATCCTCACTGTCTACCACTTAACACATCGCGAAACTAAGTTATGGGAGAGAGATCCGCTCCTTGCCATTCCCTGAGGCAGCCTGCTATAACCTAGGTCTCCGACCCTCCCCCCAAAACACATCGACCTTATAATTTCAATACCCAACACTCAACACCCAATACTCCATAACTCAATAAAGATTTATTAACTGACAACAAACTAATAACCACCGGAGAGTACTGGGATGAAAGTCCCTTAGTCATGAAAGATGTATTAATTCAACTATACGAAATTCTCTGCAAATTTCCTTGGTGGGAAAGTTGCAGGGCGGGCGGAGAGCTCGTAGAAGTAAGATTGAGCGTAACCCGTTCTAACAACTGCAACGAAGCGGAAGCACTGGAGCGGCGCGTGTAATACAAAGCCATTTCTGTGCTCCGCCAACCCACGTACTGAGCAATCTGCTCCGGAGTACATCCCAAACCCTTGAGGGTGTATGAAATTCCTACACGAAAGCTGTGAGGGGTCTCTCCGTCATTAATGTGGGCAGCCTTAAGATACTTTTGGAGCCGTGCAGATACGGCTGACCCTCCGAACGGACGATGTGACACAAACTTTTTATGCTCCGAAGACCTAAAGAGGTACTCACCATGAAGAGGGACACCTAATGCCCCACACGCGGCAATATAATAGTTCAACCAAAAAACCGGGCAGACAGGTACATTTGGAATACGTAACAGAGCAAAAGGGCGAAACTGACCTGCACGCCTCGTTTTAGTAAACGTAAAGTTGAGAAGGAACCCCTCCCTATCCTTAAGGCGAAAATGCTGATCTGCCTTCAAACGGCCCAAATCGGATGCTCTATCACCAGTGTAAAAGCCAATAACAAAGAATGTTATATCCCTGACCAGGAGGTATCTATTGAGAGGAGAAAGCGCAGAGCCTTCGGCAATAAGCCCGCGAAGATAGGCAATTAAACGGGTGAATTTGTCATAGAACAAAGGGACAGCCTGACGAGGGGGCAAAGGTTGCTGGGCTTGCTCCTCTCTTACAAACTTAAGATATTCCTTAACACAAGGATGTGCCAACGGGTTAGAAAACCCTGTACGGCCTAACCTATTGAAAATCGCTCTAAGTTTCCCTATATATGAATCGACAGTTCCGGCCGCTAGACGCTTAGGGCAACTACAGGTCTTACTAGAGCAAGAGTGCACATGGAGTTTCTGTTTTCCCGCAGCATCCTTGCTAATCAAAAACTTTACGATGTCTTACGCGGTTGCAGCAGAAACTTTCTTCGGGGGTACAAGAGAGCACAAGAAACTCGACAGCTGAACTTCTAAAGAGTCCTTTTGCCGTTCATAAGGTTTGTTCCTATACGATTCTTGGAAGTCTGTAAAGCGCTTGTTGATCAAAGGCATGTCCGCATGTGGACGGGTTCCGTGCGGTGGCTCACGCGACAGGGGTTTACCGCAGGCCTGGCAAAAGTTCGCGTCACTGTCGTTTGGATAAGAGCAGGCGGGACATCGGCAGGCAGGCTTCCATGGGCGTTCGATCTATAGAGACAAGCATAAATACCTAGCTTACCAGGAGCAGACACAACGAAAAACCCACAGATCCCAAGGCAAGGGCCTAGCAATAAAATCGGGGGAGGTGCGGGAAGGGAAAAGCAACACGGCCGGGTCACCTTTCCGCCCAAGAAGAAAAGAATCTACTGCCAATGCTTGGAGTATTGCCCACCAATAGCGATGCGGGCGGAAACGAGGGACAACGATGGTAAAAGCGAAACGCTGGCGTTGATCAAAAAAGTACCGCAGCAACGGTCCCACGAGAACGAAAGGGGGAAAGACATAGACGTTATGTTCGATTGGTATCGGTTGTGCGAAAACATTAACGCCCAGAGAATACGGAGTCGGCCAAGGCGAGTAATGAGGCAAAAAGCTCCCATCCCTTCCTCTGCGACAGTTGCTGTCCAAAGACATCAAGTCAAATGTGTGTGGTCCAAACCGCGCTTGAACTCGGGCCCACGCCTCCTCGGACAAGGAACAATCAATGTCAGTCAGAGCACGGGAGGGCGCGTCAGCAATGTTTTCACTCGATGGGACATATTTCAAATGCAAAACAAAGTTTCCTGCTCGAGACATTTCTTCTATTTTTTCAACTCCTGATTCACCAGAGAACTCCTACAACCGCCATTTTCCCAGGCTGCTCGGAGAGTCGCGTTGTCCGTCCACACATCGATTCTTGCGTTTCTGATAGAAGGAAAAAAGAGCTCAAAGCGTTACATAAAGCCCTGGCCTCAAGGGTATTGATATCACCTTCAAGGTCGATCCAATAATCTCGTATTTGCTGGCGTAGGCCATCTTTAACCAAGACTGCTCCCCAGGCCCTCTGGGAGGCGTCACTGAACATTGTGACAGAGAGATGATGTTCCGACCGCCAAGGTAAGTGACCAGACCAATTGTCCAAGAAAATCCATTCCTGAAGTTCCTGTCGCAAAGGTCCCAGGATTGGAACAGAGAGCTTCGAATTCTTGGCAACAGCGCTGATAGCCTTGAATACCTCCCGCACATACAGCTTACAAGCCGGGATTGCGAGACTAAACGATAGCGCCTTTCCCGCGAAACGCTGCAAGCTCTTTACGGGCGCAAAAGATGATTCCAGGAGTTCGTCACGCAACGCTTTAAATTTCTCCTTTTATCCAGTGGGACTAAAAAGCTTGCAAGACAGAATCGGAGATGAAACCCAGGAATTTAACAAAAGTGGATGGCTGTGGAGAGCTCTTTGCAAGGTTAACAAAATACCCCGCTGAGATCAAAAGGAATAACAAAATAAAGGCTGCTGCTCGTGCGAGTTGGCGACTAGGCTGGCAAACCAGTGGACCGGATAGGAATAACTGGCCCACATGCCTGTCATCAATATACTGCGAAACAGGTACGCCCAAAGACCGCGCGGCACTGGTGACGACAAGGCCAACGTTATGATATAAAAAGGCACTTGCTTTCCACCCGAAAGGTAAGGTGCAGAAAGAAAACTAATAGCCCCTCCAGGAAAAACTGAAGAATTCCTGGGAGTCCGGGTGAATCTTGAGGTGTTGGTATCCGTTCTTATCATCAAATGTTGTCTGGAAATGCCCTGGGAGGACATAACGAGGCAGGTCTGGGAGGTGGTCTAACTTGAAAGGGAGATCTTGAATCCATAAATTAAGAAAGCGCTCGTCGTGGCATAAACGCGGCTTAGATGGTTCGACTGTCAAGGGGAGGACTAAATGAGGAGGAGAGCATTCGCCAATCTTGCCGTAGACTTTGATAACACCCTGAGAGACCCAGGCTAAGACTGTAGTGTCAATGAAATCAGTAAATTGATGGCAACAAGGAGAGTTCGGGAAAATAGAAATCGGCGGTACAGCGGAATCATAACTTTTCCCTTTGAAGTTGCCCTTGAAATGACGGAAGAAACTATCGACCCTCACTCCCTCTCGGATTATCTGTAGCAAATCAACTTGAGGACAAGTGTAACCGGCTGAAGAAAAGAGATCCTCCCAGAAGTCAACATGATTATGTAAGCTGCCCGCTTGGAAATAATCTGGGTGTCTAAAACGCAATTGGGCCAGGTCTGCAAGGGATGGATCTTTACTAACAAGCTCCGCCGGTACGGTGGGGCCAACGAAGGATAAGGGTTCCCCGTTTATGTCACACCATTTGACGTCACGGCTCGGGAGCGCAAGGATTGCCCGTAGTGCAACCGCGAAATCCTGGGAAAACGGAGAACGAAAATACAAAAATAAGAAGAGGAAGAAAAGAAGGTGGGATCCCCTATCCTTCGCTGACCCCAGCTCTGATCATAGACCAGAATAAAGGCGCTGAGAAGGCCCCCCAGGGTCAACGAAGAAATGAGGCGAAAACCAGGACGCTAATAACTAGGCGAAATGCCCTGGTAGACCACATCTGTAACAATTAACTGAACTGTAGACATAAGGGCGTTGGCGCCTAAACTGGCGAGCACTATTACGACCTTGAAACCCAGGCTCTTCACGCTGGATAGTCTTGAGAAGCGCAGAGGACTCCTTTGCAACCGTAGCTCTAACCGGATCGCCTAAGAGGCCCATGAGCAGCCGCTTATGGGCAGAGGGGGAGAGGGCATTAGATCTTCCTTTTAATTCATCCAAAATGGCCGCGTAATAGTCTGCCTTTTCGTGGGCGGACGACCTGGCTGCCCGTACCAGGGCCTCGACGTGAGCAGAAGCCTCCCAAGGGTCATAAACAGCTTCCGGCTTCTGAAGAGCGTTGCGAACAGAGGTAAGAGCAGTGGTGACCACGTCAACGCCCTGCTTCTCCTCCAAAGCTTTCAATTTGTCTTCAAGAAGCTTAATTCGATCGTCCGCCTAAGAGTGACGCAAAATATGAAGTATATATTAACGTCTGTAAAACATTTATATGTTATTAATTTCGGTCCCAAGGCAGAACCGAAAGATCCCGAAACGAGGATATGCTAGATCCAAAATGGACGGTTAGGCCGTATAACAATAATCATTGGCAAATAAAACCGGCTGCCAGAGCGAAACGGTCCCGGACCCATATATGACCAATACAGGCGCCCGGAGCCGAGCGGACCTAGCCCGCAAACACAATAAACATGTCACCCCAAACAAAACGGCTCCCGGAGCCGGGCGGTCCCGGACCGCATACACAATAATATCTCACTCCAAACAAAAGAAAAAGAACCGGCTCCCTGAGCCGACCAACAAAAACTCTTTCTAAATAAAGAACAGGCTCCCAGAGCCAAACGTTCCCGGACCGCATACACTAAATACGTGGTTTAAAACAAAACCCGGCTCCCGGAGCCGAACGGTCTCGGACCGTATATAAAACAATTCGTTCCGAAACGAAAGCCGGCTCCAGAGCCGAGCGGTCCCGGACCGCATACACTAAATACTTGGTTTTGAACAAAACCCGGCTCCCGGAGCTAAACGGTCCCGGACCGCATACACCAAATACTTGGTTTAAACAAAAAAAACCCGGCTCCCGGAGCCGAACGGTCCCGGACCGTATATAAAGCAATTCGTTCCGAAACGAAAGCCGGCCCCAGAGCCGAGCGGTCCCGGACAGCAAACGCAATAACTCGTGTCTTGGACAAAACCGAACATACAAAACAAAAATATTTCGTCCCAAACAAAAAATCGGCTCCCGGAGCCAAATGAGACACAAACAAGCCGAAACAAAAGGACCGAGTAAAATGAAATACATATACGAACAACGCTAACAAAAGCGAAGAGAAAAACAAAAAATATGCCCTAGAGACACGTGGAACGTTAAATATGCTAAACAAAGTACTAGAAACGTTGGAGAAAAAACACGAAATGCGCACAAACGGGCAGCTAAAGCTAAAAGCGAACGAAAAGCACCAGAACTAGAAATTACCTGATTAGCAGCCGCGGGTTGCGCCGCCGGTTCTGCGAGAGCTTCTGCGAGAGGTCCTGCAGGAGGTTCTGCGGGAAGTTCTGGGTCAGGCGGTTCTGCCGCCACCGGAGGTAAAGGCGGTAATTCTCCCGCTGGTTCCGCCATGTAGTCGAAGAAAAGACGGTTTGACGCTAGCGGAAAGTACAAGGAAACGAAGGCGGGCTGGTGTTGGTTGACAAACCGATACAAGCGAACCTCGATAAGTCGTCTCGGCGGTCGGCGCTGTGACACAGTGAAATCAAAGCCACGTGGTGTATCCTATTTATCAGGGGAGCCCGCAGTGCATTGATGCGTCCCAAAGGACGGCGGAGTATTTTACTGGTCGTTTGGCGATGCGTTAATTAATTATTCAGTGAGAATAGCAATGAACTAAGCTCAGAGAATCTGCAAAGTTTAATTTATGTTTGTGGAGAGCTTATCTCTGAGCGCGAAAGCGAGAAAATCTCATCTGGCTGGGACGCGTTCAAGATTCTTATCCGAAGAAATGCAATCGGAGAAAAGCCCATGAAGATGGCGTTCCTACTTGGGATTATAAAGGAGTTGCGGCCCCAGAGAAAAGATTTGGTCAACATGGTTAAGAGGTACATAGAAGACCACTATCCACTATCGAATGGATGGTTATGAAAATAGCTCGGATTACTACATTCTAGTTTCACCACCTTCGGCGATGCCTTTACCTGGAGAATCGGATGAAGAAGACTGTCAGTGTAGTGCCCGCTCCCGTTGTTGTAGTTGTAACTTCCGGTATAAGCAAGGGAGTTGCTTCTGTTTAGCAATGTTTTCA